GGCCACCTCATTGATGACTTACCAGAACCGGATGGCTTTGGATATGTTATTAGCTGAAAAAGGAGGAGTGTGTGCGATGTTTGGCCAAGCGTGCTGCACTTTTATCCCCAATAACACCGCCCCAGATGGATCCTTTACTAGAGCATTACACGGACTAACAGCTATGTCTGTTGAATTAGCTGAACACTCTGGTATAGACGGCACCGTCGGTAATTGGTTTGGTAAATACTTTGGACAATGGAAGGGCTTCTTCCTGTCAGTTTTTCTGACCTTAGTAATCGCAATAGTGGTTTTTGCCCTTTGTGGATGCTGCTGCATCCCCTTTATCAGACAACTATGTCTCCGATGCATCACCTCTGCAATAGATGCTAAAATACCCCTGCCATACCAGATGGCTTTGTTACATGAAAGGATCCAATTGTTAGGGCCGGAGGAGATTGGAGAGGAGATAGGTATGGTAAGAACCGACTTCGAGGGACCTGAAGAAGAAATCCTTTTAGGTTCAACATTCCTGTCCGCGTGATCTGTTAACTGTTGCACACATCATATATAGTGGATGCATACACGTAGATGGTGTGATATTTCTAGGCTACGATGTATTCTGTGTCTATTATACTCGGTTTAGATTCTTTGTACTGTTTAGGGATTTCCATGACTGCTGCATTCACCCGTATTCACTGATATAGATATTTAGCGTTTAGATTGGTGGCCTTGACCTTACATTCCTCAGCCAGGACATAAACTGACTCCCCATCCTGTCGGACTCGTGTCTGCCTGCTTGGCAGATCCTGCTTACCCCCTTACCTAACTCTTAAATCAAGACAAGACAGCAAACCCCCAACTAAGCCCATGAAAATAACTTTTGATTATCAATTGCTCACATTACACATGGAATAAAGGCTGCAAAACCTTTTGACCAGTCAATCTGAAACCATATCCAACCTGCAGAGACACAGTACATGACATCACCCTGGTGTGAATGTATGAGCGGGGCCCTAGCCCAAGGAGAGAATTAAAACCACAAAGGGTTTCCTCCCCGTACTATATGTCGCTGCCGGGGCTCCTTAGCTCCTGCGTAGGTTTGGCGAGTCGCTGCAGTAAGAAGTTACTTGTCAAACAGGAATGTCTTGTCCTGCATGCACGTAACCCTGTGCAATCTGACCAGCAGCTAAACACCTTCCACCATCAAACACTGGAGACTGGGATCGTCTTAAATCCGTTTATTTGACTAGAAAGGATGAAACTGGGAAATGAAACGAGATTACCTGTTACTTACATATTAAGGAGTCGCAAATATTATATAATGGCAGTTGTAAAAACAATATAGCTACATACCAATGCAATGCAGTAGTACACACAGTAGCTAACATAAAAGCCGAAACAAGGTAAATATGTAATGCATTGCTATACAATGTACATAATATAACCCACGATGTTTATCCAAATAAACCCAAATATACCTACATGTTGCACAACCCATGATAACGGAGGCGAACCGGCCCACTAAAGCACATTCTCAGCCCAATATGCACATCAAACTTACTGACAATACTTAACAAATATACAAGAACAGTATGTCGGCATCTATTTTACATACCGAGAATGTTGCCAAAGGCATGGAACGTGGAAGATTGACGTGGATAGCATGGAGAGATAACACAAAACGTGAGGCTGTCCTGATCACATTCATCTTCCTGACTAATCCCATGGTGCAACGGTCCCACAGTTCTTAAAGGAACACACGCATGTAAAACGACTACTGCCAGCAAGGAGAGAAAAACAAAACATTTAAGTGAACTACTGTGCTGATGGGGACAGAACAAGGAAGATGAGTGCAGGTTGACACTGACTTCTGGTTAAAGAATGTGTTATGATGTGCAAACACGGTCCACTCTGACAGCCGCCTCGTCCCCGAAATCAAGTTAATACCAGACGTCAATCTGCCGTGATATTTATGCCTTTATCTTGGGCTTTTATGACATTCTTTATATTACCCTCTGGTATCAAGCTGGCCAGACAGTGCCGCCATTCTTCAGCCATTCTTGGATGATTTGCAACCAAAAAGTCAATAAAGGTGTCTGGGAAAGGGTGTTAATTAGGAATTTATGACATCACGCTCGCTTGAAGATTCTATTGTGATAGTGTGTGAGGATTCCAGATAAGGGCCTTAAAGCTGGGAAAAGATTGAGCGCTGTTTCTCAAAGTCAAACCGGCATCTGGGGATATGAAACTTGAGTTCAGTGTCCATTACCGCCGCTCAACACTGCTCCTTCACTCATATTTCACGCACTTATCCAAACAGTTTTGTATCCGAGAGAGAAAAGGATAACAAATATCCGCCCTCTCCTCCATGAGGGACAACCCCTGACAACCCTGTGAGAAAAGAAACTAACGGCTCTTGTCGGGATGCGCACTCACATGCGCATATAAAATTAAATGCAAGTAAAGCCCCAAAGCCCCAGTAGCCAGTCCTGCAGCCAAGCCTCATTTTATACTTAATTCCTGCAGGCCCGTCCGTCACAGCTTGGGGAACATACGGTTGGACATGAGAGACGGGCGGGTTTTTTACAAGGAATGTGAGCACACTCTGACTACAAGACATTAGCATTTAGACATGTGGCATCTCAATGACGAAAGACACTTTCGTCATTGAGATGCCACATGCAGTTTAGTCCAGTTCAATAACGGCCGTTGTAGAGAGCCTGTGCCTGTGATGTCGAATCCCAGAATAGACCCGCAGATAAACCTGGAGTGACGCCATGTTTCGATAATGTCGGTCACCAGTGTCTTGAGCTTCATGTAATATTTAAAAGGTTCATAACTACATGATGAAGATGGTACGGCGGCAGTATGAAAATAATCCATTTCACTGGGAATGTGCGGAGGGAACCGCTGCCAGCGCTCGGTTATTGATTTGATGTCAGTTAATACTTGACTGGGGGGAGGGGGGGGGGGGGTCTTTCAAAAGTACGATGAATTTCTCTGCTGCCATATTTCCTCTCCAACGAGCTGCATCCTTGTATAAATGGTGTTGAACAAGGCAAGAGGAGTCTTTTGCACTCTGCTAAATTCTGCAATACAAGGTCTGATCATCTTAAAGAGGAATCAGACTGAACAATATCCATCTAAATGTATGTGAAAATGAACATAAACAGGGTAACAGACAACCTTCCCTGTAGTATCCCATGTGGGTTTATAGCTTCTCGTGCAACAATATATTGGCAGCATTTATGAAGCCAGTTGATTACAACATTTGTAGTAATCTATTACATTGATTATCTTCAATACACATCTGTCACACACACACACACACACACACGTAGAAACAAAACGCTTGCTTGGATGCTGGACATTCTTAATTAAAGTCTGCCGTTGAATTCTCTACACAGTCCGAGCTTAAATTGGCTGCGGCTTTCGGATCTCACCTACTTACACATTTTGTGCACTTCTGCGCATTCCCTTTAAGGACACATGATTACAAATTAACTCCATTTTTTTTTTCGCCCCATGTCACACAGCAAAAATTGTAGTGTTGATTGGAGTTAAATTCCCAGTGTAAATTATTCCAAGTGAATGGGTGTTGATTTGTGTGTTATTTTAACACTTACAGTGCAGAAAAAGCTCTGAGGGGGGCGTCATTCCAAGGAGTTCGGAGCATACACTTATTTTGAGTTACTTTCCACATCCGTTTTTTTCATGCTCATTCATTGACGAGCAGGATTTGTCTTCACTTAGCGTGGCAGTGAACTAAGCTAAACGCCCAGAAGAAAGCTGTGTGGGATTGGGATATTACCCAGCGCTACCGGCGCTGTTTCGCTAGGTCGTCCGACTGGGACGCCGTAGTTAAGGCGGCAGGCTACAAAGTGCTGCGGGAAACCGTGGTGTTAGCTAGCTCGTACTTTGTGGCGTCGTCGTCAGGTTCAAGATGATTTGTGCACGCCCGCGTTTGTTTTTCGTCAGTAATGAAGGCCTGCGCCATTAAAATGGCAGATATACCGACTGCTGCAGCTTTGGTTCTGCTGTGGAAGTCCTAGATATGTTGGGAAATTAAACTGCGTCATGTCTGGACTAGTAACCTCATCTGGTGAAACGAACCAGCCTTCTCAAGTAACGGTAACTTTACCTGTGCGGTTCAGATTTAACTCTTTAATTATTGCAATAAACTGATAAAAACTAAGCTAAAATACAAACAGTGTGATGAAGATTTGTTAAACGTTTGAATTCATACTAAATCAGGTCCTTCCACAGGACAACAACCATACAACTTTTTAAAATGTTCGTTCCTTAAATAGAGTTTAGGGCAATAGTGGATTTATACAAGTGGTGTGAACCCAAAATAACTAATTCCGCCGTTATTTACTTGTGAAATGGGTCTAAAGTAAGCCGAAACAGCAACATCGTGATACAGATTAAAAAGATAAAGTATAAGGTCTGTCTCCAAAATGACAAGCAAACAACTTTTAATAATGCTTGTTTTCTGAATAAAGTTCTAAAAAAGTTGCCAGGGCATCATGTTGCAAACAGAATATTTTGATTTTCTTTCTTTTCTTTTTCCTGCATATGATGAACAATTATCACTGTTGTTTGTGAAACATATGTTATCTCCTTGCAGGAGATTGAACCGTTTTTTCCTTTTTTCACTAGCTGCAGTTTCAGGATGTTGCTGAAGGTGAAATGCAATACTATCAAGAAGTACATCAAATTGCCCTCAGGCTTCACCTATTCAGAATTCATCAGGGAAGGTAAATCATTTGAAGGCAAAATGAAATATGTAGCCAATCTAACTACAAATCACAGCACAATATGATGGCAGAACTATTTAAATACTTTTGTATTTAACAGTTTATATTACATTAATGACAGTTCGTAGTGGAATCATCAACATTCGTTAGAACATGGTTGTACATGATTCTTTTTAAGTTTAACAGAGTTAAGCAGGATGATTTCAAATTTGCTCCAGGTAACTTAATTTACTTACATTCCCTCCTTTTTACAGTGAAAAACAAGTTTGGGCTTCCTGATGTAGCTCTACTTGACATTTTTAATGATACTGACACAGCAGTAGAGGAAGACATTCTTCTAGAGCTGTTGGAGGCCAATCCAGACATGTGCCTGACAGTACGTGACAGCATTTCCAATGAAGGTAGGTGTCATTAAGAAAACCAATGTTAATGGATAGGGCTATTTGGTGCACCTAACATTGACCTTTCTTTATGGAAGGAACATGGCAGTGGTCAAGGTTAGGTCAAATTTGTTACAGATTACTAAAAATATAATTTGAATACTTTAAGGTTACTTAAAATGTTTATACTTAAATGGATAAAGCCACATTAAGTTAATACAATTCTCTCTTTTTAAAGACTTTTCTCCTCTAGATCATTCAACACCATCTTCCCTCACGGACACCATATCACTTCCTTCAAGTGACAGTGACCTTAGAGAACTGGGTATGACCACAGGCAGAAATAGATCCAGCAAAGAAGACATGAGCAGTTCTGCAACAAAGGCTTCCGTGTCATAGGCGGCAAAGGAGGTAATTGAGAGCTGGAAACGTCTTATTTTGATTTGCTATCAATTATAAGGTGTCACGTTTAAGCATTTGGTTCCAAACTCACTTTTTTATCAAAGAAAATGTTATTAATTTGCTCCCTTCGTAGATGTTTACCTTTCACAACACTTCTGTTTTTTGTCATTCCTCTGAACTTTCACCCGTAGTCTATATAGACATGTTGTGGTATGTTTTTTCTAATAGGCTGAATTGAACACTGAAACTTATTTTCCCTTTTCCTGTTATGCGAGTAGATTGTAGAAAATGCCTTGCTTAAGAAGCCTGGAGGAGAGGATATTCTTGAGGAGTACAAGTCAGAAAATTCACTAATGCACCGCACTCGGAGACAGCTTGTCAACATATTGGCGAGTGATATGCCTGAGAGACATGGGTAAGATTTAAAAAGGAATTACAAAGAAATGTAATAAGACTGTAATCTTGTAATGATATAACTACTGTAATGATATAACTAATGTTTCTTTTACTAAAGAAATAATTAAAGATGGACTTTCTTCTCTCCATAGCAGGATTCCTTCCCGTCAGCAGAAGGAGAGGTATGCTCTGGGAATTATTACTCTCTTTCCCTCACTGAAGGATCCTTTTTCTCCAAAGGGCTATGTGAGTTTTTCAACCTTAAGAAAACACAGCCCTTTACAGTAAAGGGCTTTGGCGTTGTAGTTTTCATTCTAAAATAACTACTGTTGTTTATAAAAGTGAAAATATTTCAGAATTCAACAATCATGATGGTGCTCTGACTTGAAATTACTTGGGTTATAAGGATATTAAAAACAAAATCTGTTAAACAAGTAATTGTTCTTATGTTTCACAATGCTGTATTTTCACTCTATGTAAGATTGTTTTGTGATTTTTTGTGTTTATTCATTTAAATGTAACAGGAGCATTTCTATAATGGGGAAAGAGGAACTGGATATTTAGCTCGGCGCCTCAAAACCATTTCCAGGACTTCAGCAAAACGGCCAGTCAAAGAAGTCTCAGTGCATCAAGCACAAGGACCAAAGCGCCAAAGATCAGCAACCACACTGCCTCAGCAGCTTGATGGAGATAACTGCAGGGAGGCCATTTCATTTCTTGTTCACTCCCCTGATGAAGCAAGTGTATTTCAGAAGATGAAGATGACGTTTCAACATCGTCAGGACCTAGTGCATAACCGACAAAGAAGCACAGATGTCTTCAAAACATTTCCACGCTTTTTAGATGTCAAAGGACTTGTGAGTTGTATATTTCTTGTATTTAAACTGAGGTCTTAAATATCCAGTGTTTTGCTGGATGTTAGCCATGAAAACACCTAATCATTCTTCCTCGCTTATTGATTGTCTTTTTCCAAAATCTTTATTCTGATTTACACTAGTTTAATATACCACACACTGATATCAAAAATCACTAAGCTCACCATTAACAATGCACTGGGTCCTGGGTTTCATACAGAATATATTCTTCTGTGTGTGATCAACAGGTGAATCAAGACTTCCTCCTGCTGTTTGGTGCTGAAACAGCCTCCAAGATGCTTGAGAAGTGGGACACCTCATTCAAGCTCAAGGTCATCAAAGAGGCCAAACAACTGACTCCGACAACTGAGCTGTGCCGACTTCTAAAAGCTGCTTAGAAACTTGCAGAGAACGATGAAAAGGGTAAACTACACAGCATGCATTGTTCATATTACGAATTTGTTAGCTATTTTCATCTTTTCCTATTAGACATTAATGCCTTGTTTTTCCTCCTGACAGACTGGGACAGTGACATCGCTTCTATGCTGCTTCTTCTCCATCTCTTGCCACCCACAGCGGGACGGAAGAGGACCAAAATAAGTCCAAGTGCTGCAGAGGAGAAAATGGTGCACTTTCATAAGGTACATCATATGCCTCATTTGTTAAAATTCCACGAGACAATTTTCTTTTTAGTTATATGCACTTGCTAGCCATTTGTTGCTTTTAAATTGTGTTCCTAACAAATAAATGGTATTGCAAGTTAGTATGTCCCAATTATTTGAGGACTGTTTTTCCAGTGAAGCAAATTATCTCATTCACAGGGGCAGTTTACAAAATGTCTATTACATTTACATGGACCAGCAAGTACCAGATTCATCTGAAGGTGTACACATAATATTTTTTTTTCTTTTTAGTCATGCTGCTCCATCAATGAATATCTGCAGGAAAGGGAGTAAACAACCATACATCCTTGCCATTGGCCGAACCCAGAAGGCGATTGATACCTTCTACATCGCCGTTGACAAACAGCTCATCCTCTGCCAAGCCACCAGCTTGTTGGGTGCTTTTGATGAACTGTTTAAATCCCACCACGTGTTCAACTTGTCTTATGATGAGTCCCTGGTCCATTTCTACACTTTTCTGCAGACAACGGTCTACAACATTGATGTTACCACAACAGATGAGTCTCCAAGAGTTTGTGAGTTGCGGGCAAAACTTTTGAATGACATATGAATATGTTGAAATGTTTTGTATGTCAAGCAGTGCATGCTACCAGTCAGTGCCTAATAACTCATTTGCGAATCTGCCACAGTTTCTATCCAAGCACTAGGTTTAAGTTAGTTTGTGCACAAGATCATTTTAGGCGTCAGTTTTCAACATTTTCAGGTTTTAAAAAGCATTTAATTAGTGTGCATGATAAGAATTGTCAAAGTGGTGATGCAGAAACCTCATCATTTCAGGCGGTTTTTCACAGTTTACAAAATGGTACAGAAGTTGGAACAGAAGTTGCAGGAACAAGTGTCGTGCAGAGCCCTGACACTGGGTATTTTGATAACAATGGATCAGGTCAAAGTATCAAAGAAAACATATAAGAAATCTGTGCTACAATTATTGCCAAACTCCATGGTAGTGGAATGGCAAATAGTGTAGTTTCGTCAATTGTTAGTGATTTGGAAGAATTTGCTGGTGGTCTGCACTTCCAAGTTAAGCATGAAATACTGTCTGCCGTGCCAAAAGATAACCCTGTAAGATCTACATTGGAAAAGGGTTTTGAGAATTTAGACGAAATAAAAATAAAGGTACTTATGATCAGGTCCCAGTGAAAGACACTTTTGTTTACATTCCAATTTTGGAAACTATTACATTTATCTGTTGCAATTCTTGTATTTGTGAACTACTTGCAAAACCATGTGTATCAAAAGACAGATATGAAGACTTTTGTGATGGAAGTTATTTTAAGTCACATCCATTGTTCTCAAAAACACAGAGTTCTTTACTAATTCAGCTTTACTATGATGACTTTGAGACTGCTAACCCACTGGGTTCAAAACGTGGTGTTCACAAAGTTGGTGCTCTCTATTTTGTCCTCCGAAATCTGCCTCCAAAGTTAAACTCTGTATTGATGAACATTCATTTGGTGGCATTGTTTCACAAAGAAGATGTGAAAAAATATGGCTTTGATCCTATTTTACAGCCTCTAATTGATGACATCAAAATATTGGAGAGTGATGGCATTGATTTGCCTTTCTCATCTGAAAAGGTCTTTGGCACTATATGTCAGATAACTGGGGACAACTTGGGGATGCATGGAATAATGGGTTTTACAGAGTCTTTCAGTGGACGTCACTTCTGTTGTTTGTGTTTGATTGAAAAAGGGGATGCTCAGAATGTTTACAAAGAGGATGACCCAAAGATAATCTTGCGTCGAAAATACATTTTTGAAATGCACTGCAGTGAGTTGCAATCAGATCCACAAAAGATGTGTGTGTTTGGTCTAAAGAAGAATTCAACTCTTAACAGCCTACAGTACTTTCGTGTTTGCTACAACTTTTCTTTGGACATAATGCATGACATACTTGAAGGGGTGGCTCTGAGATAAAGTTACTGTTTGAATATCTCTCGGAAAATGTGTTTTGTCAAAACCTGGACTTTTGTCACAAATCTATGCTTTTGACTATGGCTACTTGGAGCGCAAAAATTGTCCGACAAGGGTCAACTTGGACAGTATAGGCAATAATATATGACTCAACTCTATTCAGACTCTTTGTCTGGTAAGAAACATTCCTTTGATTTTTGGTGACATTGTGCCAGAAGGAAACCAGAATTGGACTTTGCTGTTGCTTTTACTGCAGATAATTAACATCATATTCTCTCCATCTGTTACACTAGGCATGACTGTGCATTTGAAGCATTTAATAATGGAACACCATGACTTGTTCAAACACGTATCCAGGTAGAAACCTGATTCCTAAACATCATTTTATGTTACATTACCCGTCTTGTATTCGAAAAATACATACATTAATACATATGTGGAGTATGAGATTTGAGGCAAAACACAGGGTTTTCAAAAGCACACTAAAAAACTTCAAGAACATCACTGTATCACTTGCCAAAAAACATCAAATGTCGATTGCGGCCAATTGGGAAACATCTTCTTTGAACCATATTGAGTATGGACCTTTGAAAACATTTAATGTGGACAATGAGGAAAGTGGTGAAATGTTTGCCCAAGCCCTGCCCGCTGTATCAAAAGACATCTTCTCTACTAACTGGGTAAAGATCAGCGGGGTAGAGTACAGAGCCGGGTTAGTCATTTGCAGTGGTACAGAACAAGAAATGCCTGTGTTTTGCAGAATAAAAAACATACTTTTAGTCAACAGTGTGATCTACTTCATAGTGAATAAGCTCATGGTTGACCATTTCAGTGAGCACCTTCATGCCTACAACGTGTTTGAAAGTGATGAAAAAAATGTGATGAAAGCAGACAGTCTTCAAATTTATAAGCCTTTTGACTTAAGAAGTGCTTATTCTGGAGATGATAGCCTTTATATTGTACCATTATGTTCTCTGTAAGTGTGCATAGAGTTCAGTTGTATGGTGCTTGGATATTTGTAATTACCAGTTTTTTCTGGTAGTGAAAAAGCATGTTCAGAACATCAAATATGACACAACTGTCATGAATACACTTTAGTGTAAAATAACACTGGATGATTTAAATGAACACTTTTAAGAGTAAGGGAGTAACACAATTTAGATGTAAAAATACACTTTAAAGTGTCATCAAATAACACTGTGAATGTTAGAAATTAACACCCTCAGTGTAAAGGAATAACCCCAGTTTAGTGTAAAAATTACTCTTAAATGTGTTAAGAAACAACACAAAGTGAAACAAAGTGTTACATTTTTAACACTATTATGGAGTTAAAATATTAACACCGTCCAAAGTGTTAATTTAACTCTGAACTAGTGAGGGTTATATAAACTCAGAGAAAGTGTTAAATTTGACTCTATGGGAGTTGAATTAACACTGACGTTTTTGCTGTGCATGCTTTTGGCGGTGCTTCTGCAACCAAATAGCCTGTAGGCGTTTTAAATGAAAATCATTTTTGGTTCAGCACAAATCCCACAACATAATGAAGGCAGGAGCAATTTAGGC